CTGGGTTCGTTCGTTTCCTTCCTCTCACGTGAGGGCTTTATTTGTGGTGTGGAGCTGCTTCCGATTTCTTTGAGAGGTTTTCGTTCGGGGGTTCCCGCCCTGGGCTGCACATTGGGATTCCCTTGGGGAATGTGCTCTGCTGGTGCCCGTGCCCCAGCCCAGGCAGGTGGAGGGGAGGTCCATCTGGGAGGTCCGACCCAAACCTCAGTATCTGTTCTTCCCGATTTCCGTAGGGGATCCTAGGACGCAGCAGAGGCCTAGGAGCTCGCTTTCCAGGTGGAGCAGTGGGGATGCTGACATGTGCAAGCAGCTACCTGTGTCTTTCCATCCTTCGAGTCTTGGAGTAAATCCGATAGCCATGCCAAAAGGCAAGAGAGAAGAATTTTGAGGGTCAAGCTGTGGGCCAGGCTGGTTTGAAGGTTTGCGAAGTTTTGGTTTTGGCTCCTTTAACACGTTTATTTCAAAGTGAACTGTGTTTGTAGCCCTGCTGAAGTCATTTGGGGCCAGACAAATTCAAAAGAGGTTTCCTCGTGGTTTTCCTAAAATCTCACCAAACCCAGGCACCTCTGAGTACCAGCTGCTGCAGTGAAGTCCTAAATAAGCTTCGAAAAGCCAGGACACACAAAAAGCCCACTGACATTTTTTCCTCGGAAAACAGCCTGTGTCGGAAACAGTCTTCCTCAGCTGTGGAAATGATGGCCCCTCCACCTGGCCCTCCGGTAGGGTTCAGTAGGTCTGTACCCCTAGGGGTGAATCAGCCCCAAGTTCCACAGGCTAGCGAGGACTCCATCCTTCAGGGCTGCAGAGGAGGCTGGCCTCATGCTTCCCAGGTCCCTGGGAGTCTCCAGCTACGTCCCAGGATCTGGGTTCCCGCTCTCAGTCAGCCGCTGCCTGGCCACGTAGCCTTGGCCAGCTCACTTGGTCTTGCTGATCAGAGGACTCACTATGGGGGGCAGGGGACGTGGATTAAATGACAAGTGTTGTGTCAGGGGCTTTGCGAATCCTTGGCACATGCTCGGTGCTCGTCATGCATTAATTCCGCTTCTCTGCCCTCACCTAAGGCAGAAACCATGGGGAGCCAGTGCATTTCCAGTTGGAACAGCTTCAGCACCAGACCACACTGACTTGCTGAAATGCCCAGATGCTAGAGCTTGACACAGCAACTCCTGGTGTTCCAGGATAAGGAGGGGGCATCCAGAGGGGGAGAAGGGCGTGGAGGGCCCTTTCGGGAAGTGGCAGCAGATGGCAGGGCTTAGTGGCAGTCATGAATCGCCTGCCTCAGGGCCGCCCTGTTGTGCCCTCAGCCCCCCTCCGTGCCCGATGGGCCCTGTGGTCTACCATCTCCTGTGGACACTTGTAGGTTCTGTTCCACATCAGAGTGTGGGAGAGATGGGAATGAGTCACTGGAGGGTTCTGGGCGGCTGGCTCCGGCACAGGAGGTGGAGACCTGGCTCCAGATGTCGCGTTTCCACTGGTCTCCTGGGCACTCTTCTCGTAGCTTTTGTAAGAGCTGCAGCTTGGTTGCAAGCAGCAGACAGCTAAACTATTTTATTTTTAGTTTTAGTTTATAGCATTGGAGATTTGGGTAAATGTATTTCCTTTTGATCATGTTCAATGGTGGTATCAAGGAATCTAAAAACATTTACATTTTTATAGTGAGAGACTCCCTTGCTCCATTAAAGTGACAGAAAAATATTTCTGAGCTAAATCATCTTTTTTTGTTTCCCATTCTCTATGACTGTAATCATATGACAGATGGATTTGGGGTTTACATTGGAGCCTCTGTCTTTTTTTTTAACTTTTATAGATGTATTTGGTTCTTTACTAAAAATATGTCTGATCTTGTTAGTCTCTCTTTTTTTTTTTCGCTTTTATTTTTTTATTTTTTTGGAGAGATTTTCACTGTAGGGCGCGTGCACTCGCCAGACAGACAGAGAGAGACATAGAGACAGAAAGCGAGAAATCACCCCCCCAGGGGGGATGGTCACGCTGCAATCCCTTCTCCTCCATTCTCCTCTCGGGATCTTGGGCACGCACGCACGCGCGCCCGGCGTGAGTTTTTTAAGCCACCAGATCCGGGACACGAACCGTGGTCGACTACATGGGAGTCCAGCGACATAGCCATTACGCTAACTGCTGGTTCCCTTGTTAGTCTCTTTTTAAAATTAAATTAAAATTTGTTGTCTTAATTGCCAGTGCGCATATGTGTTCATAAAAGAGAGAGAGAAGGAGAGAGAAGTTATTCTCCAGTGGGGCAAGGTCATGCTGCAATACTTTTTCTTCCATTCCATCTGGGTTTTGGGCATGTACAGATTTGTGCCAGGGGTGTTTTTCAAGCAGCTGAGGCTGGGATTTGAACCATGGTCAGCCATGTGGAATCCAGCTCCCTTAACTGCTAAGCTATGGGGCTGACCCAAATTAGATTTCTTTTTTTTTTTTTTCTGGAGAGTTTTTTGCTATAGGGCACATGTGCTCACCAGAAAGACAGAGAAAGACAGAAATTTGAGAAATCGTCCCCCAAGATGGCCACGCCGCAATCCCTTCTCCTCCATTCTCCTCTTGGGATCTTGAGCATGCACACACACGCGCCCAGCATGAGTTTAAGCTACTGGGTCTGGGACTCAAACCACGGTCGACTACATGAGAATCCAGCGACATAGCCATTATGCCAACTGCTGGTCCCCCAAATTAGATTTTTAATGAACAAATAGTTATATTTATTTACGGTGCATGATGAGATGTTATGAATATATGTGTATATACACATGCTTTGTGGAATGAGTGCATCTAGTGAACTAGCATATTTATCACTCCACATACTTACCATTTCTTTGTGGTTAAAAACATTTAAAATCTACTCTTCCAGCAATTTTGAAATACACAATACATTAACTCCAGTCCCCATGCTGTGCAATGGATCACTGAAACTTCCTCCTCCTGTCTCAGTGGGAGCTTTGTGCCCGTTGTCAACGTCTTCTCTTCCCCATTCACCCTGTCCTGTTGTTTGGGAACCACCCTTCTGCATTCCATGCCTACTGGACCCTCCTTCCTCATGTGTCTTTACAGCAGGTGCTGCGAGGCCATCAGCCACACAGCTCATTCTGTGGGTGGACCAGCACACGTTACAGATGGCGTCACGTGTTGGGTACCAGGGGGCTGTGGCCAAGGGCAGATGATGACGGAAGTAACTCCTGCTGCCATCCAGCATTCCAGCCCCTTGACTGGGATGGCTTATTGTACCCACATGATCCTGGATTTTGTAACTTTGGGGGTCAGGCAGTTCTTTGTGTCTGGGCTCTCCTGTGAATTACACAGTCTTAAGGAGCATCTCATGCCTCTGGCTACTAGTAATAGTCCTCTTCCTCTTCCTCCGGGGAAAACTGAAAGGTCTCCAGGCATGGCTAAATGTCTCTAGGAAGCAGAATCACTCTCTTTGGAGAACACTGACCTAAACACAGAGGCTCTGGGCAGGAATGTGAAGTGGGACTCATTTGGAATGTCAGTCTGACATCAGGGCTCGGCATCTGGGCACTGTCCCGTAGCTACTGCTTCCCTTCTGCCCGATGCCTTTCCCAAACATCATTGTGCGTTATGTTGTAGCCAAATTTATGTTAACAATCTAAACTCTGCATCGGCACAGGAACGGGGTGGAGTACAGTGCCTCTGTAGTCAGACTGCACTTTACTGTTCAGCCCTCTCCCCAGCAAAGTATGAAAGCAGACCAGCTGCAGGGCGTGTGTGCACACCATGGGCTGGGCGCGAGAGGAAGAGAGGAGGCACCTGCCAATGGGATGGGCTCATCGCAACCCCTTCTACTCCGTCTCTCCACCCGTCAGGATTTGGGGCACACACACTCACGTTGCCAGCATGATTTTTAAGCTGTCATGGCCAGAATTCAAAATGTAGATGGACGTGTGAGATCCAGGTCCCAATACACAGGGCTTAGCCACTCTGCTATGGCACCTTCCGGCAACAGCAACCACAAAAATAGGCACTCTGTGCACCTGTTGCTCCATTTATCAGAGGAACAATGTTCATTTTAAATGTTTCAGCTCTGTGCTGGGCACTGGCCTGCTTCACATACCTGAGTTCAGAGTTTGGATGTATGTTTTGTGGAGATGTCACCAGCAGTTGAAAATATAAATTAAGCACCTATCGTGTTCCAAAGCCCGAGCTTTGCTCATGCTGGGGATATAACCTGACAAACCTCAGTCTTTGATTGCTACCATACCGCATTTTCTTTTTCTTTTCTTTTCTTTTTTTTTTTTTTTTTAACCAATTGTAACAAATTTTTTTTTCCCCACAGAACACACTAGAAAAACTTCAAGCCAAAACCAAAAATATATGCTGACTTTCCCAGTTTCTTTCTTTTTTTTTTTTTTAATGTATATAACATTAAGGAAAATGATTTAAGAGTCAGTAAATTTTTATTTAAGGAATATCAGAATTTCTGATTTCTTCTACTGCTCACCAAGGACACCACCAGCTTCATCCCTCCAAAGCCCAAGTCAAGATAGCCCTTTTTTTCAAAAAAAATATTTAGTTTTATTTATTCATTCTTTTTTTTAATTTGACCAGAGAGAGAGAGAGGAAGGGACAAAGGAAGCTGCCAGGTCTGGGACTCGAACCATGGTTAGCCATGTGGGAATATCCAGCACCTTAACCACCACACCACCTGCTGGTCCCTAAGATAGCCCTTTTTGAAAGAACTGGTACTTAGTTCATAGTCCTGTCAGCCCTACCAATTTTTTCATGTCTTTTTCTTCATTTTAACTATGGATATATTGGTAGCTTCAAAAACTGCCCACCCAGGATTATTTGGATCCAGTTTCTTTAAATAGTTGACTTCAGGCCCACTTTTAGCATGGCTGCATCTGCCTGTTTTTCAAATTCTGACACCCTCTACACAGGAATCGGTTCAGATCTGTCCCTTAGCAGTTGTGGGATGTGGCAACACCTGGATAAAAAAGTGATTATTACATTTTTCATACTTTTAGTCATTCTGTAATGTAGTTCCTTCTCACAGAATTAACAAATAGTCCTGCGAGTAAAGCAAAACCACACCGTTACCCGACGAGGCATTTCCAACGATGTGCAGCTACAGGAAAAGCCACCAGGGGATAGACCTCAACCCATACCGCATTTTCAATGCCCAATTTTATTTATCGTTTCTTATTCAGGGAAGAAAGCATGTGCACACATGCGAGGTGGGGGTTATTTCCTTGACAGGGTCTTGTGATGCTGTGACCCACTTTCCACAGCCCTCAGGATCTTGGGTAACCAGCATGTTTTCAGGTCAGCTCAGGATCTGAACCCACAGTTGGCCTCACAGCTTCTAGTACTGCAGTTCAGCATGCTATCCAAGGAGCCTCCAGGGCTGGGCCCCACCTTTTTTAATGTTTTTCATTGCTAGAGAGCATGTATACTTGCTGGAGAAAGACAGAAATGTGGGGGAGTGGAAGGTGAAGAGAAAGCACCCCATCATGAGTTTGGTTGTGCCATATCTCCTCTCCATCTTTTCTCCTCCTTTCAGGATTTTGGGCACACATGTGCACACACCTGGTGTGTTTTTCAAGCGGCCAGGTCCAAGACTTGAACCACACATTTAACCATGTGAGATCCAGCTTCTTTAATCATCAGGACACAGGCCGGCCCCACTTTTGCTCATTTTCTAATTGAAAGTTTTTACTTCTTCTGTTGAGTTTGTACTTTCAAGAATAAGAAATTTAGGGACCAGCAGTTAGCATAATGGCTATGTTGCTGGACTCCCATGTAGTCGACCGCGGTTCACGTCCCGGACCCAGTGGCTTAAACTCACGCCGGGCGCATGTGCACGCGTGCCCAAGATCCCGAGAGGAAAATGGAGGAGAAGGGATTGTGGCGTGGCCATCCCCCCTGGGGGGTGATTTTTCGCTTTCTGTCTCTCTGTCTCTCTCTCTGTCTGTCTGGCAAGTGCATGCGCCCTATGGCAAAAACCTCTCAAAAAAAAAAAAAAAGAATACAAAATTTAATTTTGACTGAGCCCTATTTTTCCTCACATGGATTGTGCTTTTGTTCATGAAGTCTAAGAACTGATTGCCTAACACTAGATCCCAAAGATTTTTCTCTTACTCTTTTCTTTTTCCTAAAGAATTGTTTTGATTTAACTTTATTTACTTATTTAAATTTGACCAGAGAGGGACAGAGAGAGACAGAGATAAAAAAACAGAGAAAGTGAAAAAGCAAGCTACCAGGTCCAGGTCTCAAACTGTGGTCAACCATGTGGGAGTCCAATACCCTTTAACTACCATGCCACCTGCGTCCCCTTTTACTTTTTTTCATAAAAGTTTTTTTTAATTATTTTTAAAATTTTATGTTGTAGTTTTATTTATTATTATCATTACTCTTATTCAATTTGATCAGAGAGAGGCAGAAAGAAAGCAAGCCACAAGGTCCAGGACTCAAAACATGGCCAGCCAGCCACGTGGGAGTCCAGCACCTTAACTACCACTATAAGTTTTATTGTTTAGCAGCCAGCAGATGGTATAGTGGTTAAGGTGCTGAACTCCCAAGTGGTCAACTGTGGTTTGAGTCCCTGAAACTCACACCGGTTGCGTGTGCCTACATGCCCAAGATCCCAGGAGGAGAATGAAGGAGAAGGGATTGTGGCATGGCCATCCCCCTGGGGGTGATTTCTTGTTTTCTGTCTCTGTTTCTCCAGCGGGTGCATGCACCCTATAGCAAAAATCTCTCTCTCAAAAAAAAAAAAAAAAAAAAAAAAAAAAAAGTTTTACATTTCAGTCAGTAATTCATTTTTAGTTAATTTTTCTATTAGGTATGAGTCTTAGGTTGGGGATCATTTTATTGCTTTGGGTTTCCAGTTTCAGTTACCTACAAAAGACTTAAAGATAAGCAATGATTAGCAAGGTAGCAAAAGCCAAACGGAGTCAGTCAAAGCACCCCTTAGATCCTGGCTTATTAAAGAGGGTCTAGGTGAGGCTTTGCAATACTTGAGCTTATAAAGTCATCTCAGCCAGTCATATGGGAGGGGTTGGAGGCTTCTTTTCTCTCCCTGTCTCCATAGCCCATGTCTGTGAAGACTAAGTAAGGTTACTGTTAACTTTGATTAGCTGAGTGTTAGGCTCCATCTATTACGAGGGAGGTCAAAGGTTAGGTTCTGTAACACTCACTATGCAGTAGAAGATAGAAGTTGAAGACTTTTCTGGGCCAGTGTGGCGTGGTGGTGAAAGTGGCTGGATTGAGTCCTGGACCTGTTATAGTCTAATCAGTGAGTAATAAGAGGACATCCAGACACAGCCAAATTTATTGGAGTTTTATTGATTAAGCCAGTGGCATACGGGATGCATGTCTCTCCAAACCCTGTATCCCTGAGTGCAAGGTGAGGGATGCTTATAAAGGCAAAGATCACACTCTTTTTCTGGGTTGACATGGCAATTATAAGAATGAAGAGCTGTTGGCTTGAAAGGGTAGGGGATAGGGTTTTACAATGTAAAAGCAAAAGCGAATTACAGAAGCAAAACAAGCAGGTTGATCATTCCTAAGGGTATGTTCCATTTCTACTGAAACACAATGGGATCCTAATGTTCTTCTTGGCTCAGGGTAAGGGGTCTGGCAACTGATGATTACATCACTAAGGGACATCTTAGGGTAGGGAGTTTTGGGTTATTTAGCAAAGACAGTAGGAGTGTTTAGGCAAAAAGAGAAAGCAAGTTTCCAATACAGAGAAGAGTTCAAAATGGAGGTCTGCTTCAGACCCAGCACCTTTAAAAATGTGTGGGGTACATGTGTGTATGTGTCCCAAATCCAAAGAGGAGAATGGAGGAGAAGGGATTGAAGCGTGGCTATCTCCTCGGGGTAGAGGTGATTTCTTACTTTCCTTCTCTCTCTCTCTGTTCCTCTCCAGCAAGTGCACATTCCTTATAAGAAAATTTAAAAAAAAAAAAAAAAAAGACTAATTTTCCTAAGGTTTAATCTTTTAAAATGGACTCCAAGAGTAAGTGTAATATAGAGTCACTTTGATTCTCATATGGCTCAGTTACATATGGACACTTGAAAAGGTGTATTCTGGGACCAGCAGGTAGCATGGTGATTAAGGTGCTGGACACTCCCACATGGCTGACCACGGTTCAAGTCCCAGACCTGGTGGCTTGCTTTCTCACTTTTTCTTTCTCTCTCTCTGTCTCTCTCTGGTCAAATTAAAATAAATGAATGAATAAATAAAAAATTGAATAAATAATTCTTTAAAATAAAAGAAATGGTGTATTTTGCTGTTACTGGATGACGGACTGTATAAATGCTAATTAATTAGTATAGATACTAATTAAATCCTATTGAGTTGATGGTACTATGGAATATATATATATATATATTCCATACATACATAGCCAGATAGAGTGCACACACATGAGAGAGAGAGAGAGAGAGAGAGAGAGAGAGAGAGAAAGCACCCTCTAGCCGAGCCTGGTCACGCTGTAACCCTTTCCTCCATCCTGTCAGGGCACTGTTGCTGGGGCCCCACTGGAGCCCTGGTGGGCATGTGGACACAGCTTACCTGCCCAGTGCTTAACCTCCGTATCACAGGGCTGGCCCAGGTCATCGCGTATATGAGCTGGTTTTCTTTCCATTCTATCAGTTGCTGAGAAGAGGAGTGTTGACATCTCCAACGGTAATTGTGGGTTTGCCTGTTTCAGTTTTTAGTTCTATCGGTTTTTGCTTCCCGTATTTTATAGTTCTGTAATGTAGAACTGTAATACATACAGCTCTATAGTTGTCATATGTGTCTTTAGGACTGCTATGCCTTTTAGGTAGATTATCCATTTGTCTTCACATAATGTTCCTGTCTGTCATCGGTTCTTTTTTTTCCCTAAAATCTACTTTATCTGATATCTTACTTTTATTCTCTGAATTATAGCAATTATAACTGAGGTTCTTCCTTCCCCTCTCTCTCTCTTGTTATTTTTTAGGAATATATCATTCGCGTACAAAGAGGAATTTCTGTAGAAAACAGCTGGCAGGTAAGCATTTTTGGTCGATTAGAAAAATGTTTTAACTTATGACCAAAACCCTGAACTGGGGTATCCAAAAATCTGGAAAAATCAGAACAAGCATAAATATAGAGTATGTTTCTTTTAACTGTAAACCTTTAGTTTTGAGACAAGTATTAGAAAAGGCTTTCTGGGGCCAGGAGGTGGTATGGTTTAAGGTGCTGGACCTCACATGGCCGACTGCCAGACCAGGTGGCTAGCTTTCTCCCTTTCTCCCTTTCTCTGTCCCTCTCTAGTGAGTGCACATGCCCTAGCATTCTGTACCCAATGTGTTTGATTAAATTGTGTATGATGTTATCAAGAGTAGGCAGGAATTTGTTCTCCAGCCCTAACCAGAGCCTAGCTGGATATGCAAATGACTTGTTTTGTTCCTAGAAATCCAAAGCTCCTCCCCTGGAGCCCTGGTTGGGTGGAGGAGGTCAGAGTTGAGGCCACCAGGTGGAAAGGTGAGATCATGTCCTGGGTATTATACAGCTGGGGACACTATATTTCATGGACTCCCAAGTCCACTCATGGCCACCTGCGAGTGCTGGCTCCCTTGTTGTCTCTAGGGGAGGGTCTTCTTGGGACCTCAGGCTCTGCTTTCCTCAGTGGCGGCTTCAGAAAGAAAAGACTTCTGGTGGATCTAGAGGGCCTTCCCATCCCAGTGGATCTGCAGAGGGTGGCAGAATTCTGTATAAGCCCCTCCCCCCATTTTAGTGATTATAATTATCATCTGCCTCACACACACATCCCCGGTTCTGTCCTTGTCCTTCACAGACTAGCTCGAACCTGACCTTCACCTTAGGCAGTCTCTGACCACTTGGTCTTTTTTTTTTTTGACATACATTTAAAACAGCTTTTTGTCTGAATAATCATTTGGTATAACATCCATGGAGCATTTAGTAAGTGTTGAGCACTGGTTTAAGTCTGTTAATTCACTTAGCCTTACATAATGGCCTCCTGTGGAAGTATTACCCCGTTTCACATTTGAGCGGTACCCTGTCACACACTGACTCGGTGGTGACTGTCTGAGTCATGCAAAGCCATCAGCAGGACAGAGCTGGAATTTGCATGTTCTCTGCGCTTGACCACCCTCAGACCTTGCGTTTCTTTTCCTCTTTGCAGGAATGGCATTATATCTAACTTTTGATGTGCATTTATATATTTGCAAAGCAGGGTCAATGCTACCAGAAAAATCAACCCTTGAGGCACTGTGGCCAGGAGTACTTAATAAAAAGGTAGACTCTTGGGCCCCAGTTAGACTTATGGGATCAGATTCTTTTTATTCATTTTTTTGAGGGGGGTTATTTATTTGATTTTATTCATTATCATTATTATTATTTAAAAATTTGACCAGAGAGAGTGACGGTAAGTGAGAAAGCAAGCCATCAGGTCCAGGACTTGAACCACGTGCCTCAACCATCATGCCACCTGCCGGCCCCTGGGATTAGAGTCTTTGTGGGTGGTGCTAGGTGACCCTCAGATAATTGTTCTGCACCCTCACATTTGTGAGTCATCATAAAGGCTGAAGTCGAACTGTTCAAGATTAAACTAATTTCTCTGTCCAGAGCCTGACCAGCTTGCAGAATTTGACTCGGCACAATCAAAGGCATCAGCATAGCTAAGAATGAGTGTGTGTGACGGGAGGTGGACAGTCTACCAGGAGAGGGCACGGTGGGGAGCTCTGCCCGCAGGTGCGGTGGTCACCGGCTGGTGGGGTCTCACTGGGGCAGTTTTATCTAGAGCAGGGATGAAATGGCCTCAAAACTCTCCACCTCCTTTGGTTTTGATGCTGTGCTCGGTGAAAAAAAAAAAGTTTGTGTAAATTATTAATTTACCTCTCTGTGTACCTGGTTAATAAGACATAATTAGACATATTTCAAGAATTATTCACCTGAAAACAAATATTGTCACGTACTGCGGGAGTCTGCCTGGCATTAACCAGTTTCCCGTGGCGCAGCCAACTCTGGGTTCTTGCTAGGTCTGTTCTCTGGGCCTGTTCAATTAAACGAGTTAATCATTAGTTACAAGCCCTACTACGCCCAGCACAAGTGCTTCAGCCCTAAAGTGCCAGTGTGTGTCAAATAAACAAATGGGGAGATGGTCTGTGCTGGAGAGAACACCACTGTCTTGTCTCTTCCAGATCGTGAGGAGATACAGTGACTTCGACTTGCTCAACAGCAGTTTGCAGGTAAATGTTCAGCAACTCCGGGACACATTGAATGCCGCGGTGTCTTAGAGACTGGTTGGAAACGGCAGAGTTAGAAATGAGAATGGACGCTCGGCCACGGTGACACGTGCTGTTTAGATGCCGCTATTTGGAGGCTTAGGCCATGTGGGAGGCCCGGGTTTAATTCCTGACTTGACCTGAAGCAGGACAGGCGTGGTGATATATGACTGTAGGTCCAGCTACCTGGAGGCAGGGGCAGGCGGATCATGGCCTGGCGAGACGGT